GCGCCGTTTCAAGCAAGCTGTCGACGACAAATGCAAATCTCACGCTTTGTACCTGCTGCATCGCAGACCCTGTCCGCCAGCTGTTGACGACGCACTACTTGCTATCCGCCTGAAACGTATACCCTGGGAATCATGCTGCCATTACGACCACGCACAGGGCGATTATTCTTTCTACCCTTCGAAAGACTTCTTTGACGCGGTTCTGGATGAGACCGAGGTGCCGCCAGGCTGTCCCTCTATTCCAGCCGCAACCTGGATGGAGGAGATCCACGCCGTCATGGATCTGTATCTGCTGGTATTAGCTTACTTGTCCACCAGTATGCATTGTCCCACGAATAATCCATGGGTCTATCCTGGCGGCACCGAGCTTTTATCCATTGACAAGGACTACGAATGGCCAAAGCCCCAAACTGAAGCCATTATTCGGTCATATTTTCGCAACTTCGTCTTCACAACTGTATACGCACCACGTGTTTTTGTTGAGCCTTTCGCTGCCGTAGCAGCTATGATTGAAGACACTCCAAGATTAGATTATGCTGTTGCAGAGGACAGAAGACACAATATAGTGTCCGAGGAATTCGCGAAATACCCCGTCTTAGAGAGCTTGCGACTTCCTTTGGAGGATAGACCTCGACATCATCCGGTCTTTGATGGCTTTTTTGAGTGGTTGTACGCACAGTGCAGCCCTCTCGAATTTCTCGTTCTACCTGATTCTTTCCAAGATCCAGCAATGGGTGGTCATCCAAGTGCCTCCCTAACGAGGAGTTTTCCAGGAGAAGAACGCCATCAGCTTGCCCTAATGCAGATCTGGAAGATACACCAACTCAGGGAGGATCGAGGTTGGGGTAGCAAACCAGAAGACGGGTATTATGTTGCAGCTCGCTTCAACCCGATCCAGCCTGAACTCACCAGTTCCACTATCGTCTATCGCCGGTTGCTTCACGTTTCGGTTTGGTCTGAGCCTCAGATCATCATCAACGATTGGGTACAAGAGGATGCATATTCACTGGTGTTAAGAGATCCCGGGAAGGAAGAATATCACTTCACTGAAAACGTTTTAGGACTTCACAGGTTCAATGCTTTGGGCAGGATACTTGAAGCTGAACTCAAGAACAGATTTGGCTTAAGATATAAGTCTGAATATGCGGAATATCTGGATATTGACTGTGGCATATTAGACCCAAGACCTGAGCTGGAGCAGTGGGTATAAGTTATGCAACAACTCCTTCACTGCGTAAATTGGCCACTTCTTCTTGACTCATCCCCAGTGTGTTACCGAGTATCTCGTTTGTATGCTGGCCTAATGTGGGTGGAGGTAGTCGTATGCCTGGAGTCGAGTCTGACCATTTCACGGGCGTGTTGACTAGTTTGATCGGTCCACATGCTGGGTGCTCGATTTCTTTGACCATGTCTCTTGCGAGCACTACTCCAGATTAGCATCGACAAGAAACACTTGTTCCGGCAGGGATAATATACATACCGTGCTCGTGGTTCAAGGTATCCTGAACATCGTTGATAGCAGCGTACGCTGGAATTGTTAGCTAAGAACTCCAAGGCATACCGTTGGTACTTACGCATTCCACTTCCCTCGAGCACGTCGAGCAATTCCTGCGTAGTTTTCTTCTTCGTCTCCGTCTCAATCAACTCCTCTAGCTCGTCTCTATGCTGCACCCTCAACGCGTTCGTTTTGAACCTCTCATCGAGAATCCATTCGGGCCTTTCCAACCTGTTGCACAAAACTCCATACAACCTATCGTTTCCACCTCCGAGCAAAATGTCTCCATCTGCCGTTTTGAACGCCTTGTACGGTACAATTGATGGATGCGAAGTTCCCCAGCGTCCAGTGTCGCGTTTTCCGCTAATGAGAGTGGAGCTGGCAATATTGGCCAGGGTGGCAACTTGACAGTCTGATAACGCGACGTCGATGTGTTGGCCCTTGGAATTTGGGTTTCTGAGGCGCCGGAAGAGAGCTGCCATGATGGAGTTGGAGGTGTAGAGACCGGTTGTCAAATCGGTTACTGCTACGCCGACCTTAACGGGTGGGCCATCGCGGGTTCCGGTGATGTGCATTAGGCCAAATTCGCTGGTTTGTATTAGCATTGACATGGTGTTAACAAACTGAGTCGGGAGATGTACGCTTCAACCATGACGTCGTAACCTGCTCTGTTTCTGTATGGCCCTGTTTGGCCGTAACCTGTGATGCTGGCGTAGATAATTCCGGGGTTGATCTTTGACACGGTATCATAGTCCATAGCGTACTTTGCTAGAGAGCCTGGAAGGTAATTCTCGACAAGAACATCGCATTCTTTCACCAGGCGATGCAAAATGTCTACACCAGCTGGGTGCTGGAAAGACAGGCCTATCGATCGCTTGTTACGGTTGACCTATTCTTAGTGAGCCATAGAAGAGACGTGATTACGGTGTTGTACTAACACCCAAATAGTAAGCACTCTCTCCTGGCCCTTCTTGGTTATCGGTGTACTTCGCGTAAGGTGGTCCCCATGCTCGTGTGTCATCTGGCCAAATCAATCAGTTTGAAAGGTAACCTTTGAGCTTGAGATTTCGTCTTGCTCACCTCCTCTTGTCGGATGTTCAATCTTGATCACGTCTGCTCTAACACAATGTCAATTCCTGAGTCTTTAATCTCGCCAACCTCGGTTGGGCCGTACAGGGTCATCCATCGCATACCCAAGATCACCCAAAATTTGCGTGCAATATGGCTACTAGAAGTCAGTCGAGTTTCTCGCGAGTTCATGAATCATGACTCACTCCAGCAAGTACTCTTGTCATATCAAGCACTTTAATGCCGGCTAGAGGCAGGTTGGACGCATCTGCATTCGATGCCTCAGTTGCTAGCCGTCGAACATGGCTGGGTCGTGCCCAATTGGACCGTGAACATGTCACCGTCGCCTGGAAAGCGCGTCTCGAGCTTCTCAGCAACATGTTTGCCATTTCGATGTGGTGTATGTAGAATCACGATATGTGCCGGGTAACGGAATGCTTCCACGGCATACCTATTCCCGACGATGGGCTAGCTCCAGTTCGGTGATCCGAGGCTCATCGCTAGCTGCAGAACCCCACCAAGTTTCTCTCTCCAATTACCCACCCCACCATGTTTACTGGTCTCGTTGAAACCATTGGCAGTAAGCTACCATGCATTGTCTTTCCTGCGCGGCTCGGCTGACGATGGCTAGCTGTTGCCGCTCTTGAGAAGCTCGACCAGACGGCCTCGGGAGGCGGCGGCACATCGTTGACCATCTCCGGATGTGAGGACATACTGGGGGACGCCCATCTGGGCGACAGTATCAGCGTCAATGGTACGTTCGCGCTACTATACTTCATCTCGTGGTCTAATCCAACCAGGCACCTGTCTCACCGTCACGGAATTCACCAAGTCATCGTTCAAGATCGGATGCGCTCCCGAAACCCTCCGACGGACAAATTTGGGGTCGCTGAAGGAGGGCTCCAATGTCAACCTAGAGCGCGCAGTCTCTGCCAACACCCGCATGGGCGGTCACTTCGTGCAAGGACATGTCGACACGATCGCCACCATCGAGTCGGTAACACCGGACGGCAACGCGCTTACCTTCCGCTTCAAGCCTCGCGATACATCGGTCCTGCGATACATAGTCGAGAAGGGTTACGTCACAATCGATGGGGCTAGCTTGACGGTTACAAAGGTGCAGGATGGTCCTGAGGGTTGGTGGGAGGTCATGTTGATTGCCTACACGCAAGAGAAAGTCGTCACGGCAAGCAAGAAGCCGGGCGAGGACGTCAATGTCGAGGTCGACCAAGTCGGCAAATACGTCGAGAAGAGCGTAGCTGGATACTTTGAAGGGTCATCGAATGGAGAATTCGCGATACTGGAGAAGATGGTTTCGAAGCTGGTGGACGAGAGGCTGAAGGCTCTTGGAAAGTGATGGACACATGCTGGACCATCGGCTGCTACGCGTACGCGCACGCGCAGGCAGGCTCTCAGCGCCAAGATCGAGGGTTTGCCGTCAATGCCGTAGAAGTCATGGCCCCACATTAGTAACCAACCAAAACAAATCATTCAACTTCAGTTATATGGTTGCCTCGAAAGGGGCTCATGGGTGAGACTTGCAGCCCCATTGCGGTGGTGGCTTGGACAGAGTGAGGCGCAGCCTTGGTTTCGTCCAATACATATATATCTACATGTCTATCCCATCATTTCACAAGACACTCCCTACTATTCCACACCTACACATTAAAGGGCGAGCAGATTGATACTCATGATCTGAGGCTCGTCGTTGATGCTTAGTTCGAGTGTGGCGGCTCTCACATCGATCCCCTCATGGTTGACAGTTGTCAAGAGGCATATCGTCGCACAGTCCGGAGTGGCGGCTTCGAAGGTCTCCTCAACCGTTGAACAATCATTGCTTACATTGCAGGACTAGTCCATGCCATAGTGGAGAGAGTTAGGCAGAACACCATGCCGCGGCGCCGACATGCAGACCAACGATGTCATTAGGCCGAAAGCTCTGGACATTTCGAAACTTTTTGTGCTGCGAGCCGGTATGATAGGAATGATCTTCCACTGACAGCGCAGACGTGCAGCTATCGGGGTGGCGTCTCCGCCTGTCCAGAACAGCATCTTGCCCAGCGGTGCAGCGCAATTGCATGCCGCAGGCTGGCCGGCACTAGCAGATTCTAACTCCAGAAGATTGGGGGCCAAACTGATTGCACAGAAAAATTGTGTGAAAGAGGAAGCGAAGACCGCGGGTTACATGCAGGCTTGGTAAGGGATTCTGTCGGCATAGGTCATTGGCGTTTCTCACCGGCGTGCTGCTGCATAAACACGTCAAGAGCCGACCCTCTTCAAGCGCGCATGCCACCAGACGTCTACCCCAGACGCTCATCTCGTAGCGCCATCGCTTGAGCGATTTCTCTTCCCTTTCCCCGCCGATTCCCAGGCGTCTAAAGCATGCGTTGCTACTAAACCTTTGTCTTCGGCTATCTATCCCCGGTACGCACCTGTCATGGACTGGCGACTACTCGACTACGCCAAGGAAGCTGAGGAGACCGCAACGGGCCTACTCTCGTTCGAGAGTGAGATCCCCCAATATCGCAAAGACGTCAGGAGCCATATCGCAGAGTTGTTTGCCATATCGCACGCTCTACTGGAGCTGAACGAGGCGCTGGAGTCGTCCCGCTATGGCAGATATGCAGGCTTCATACGAACGGACCTAGAGGTTTGCCTCCCGAGCTTAGGGCACACGCTTGACGATGTTCAAGAAATATTCACCAGGTCCAAAAAGAGCAGGCACGCTGCGCCCGGTGCTTTTCCCGGCACACCACCGTACGCACTCATCTGGGAAGATGCGCTTACGGATTTCACGGCGGAAGGCATGTCCTTACCCAAAAGATTCGAGATTGTTAGGACATATCTACAGTGCATGCACGATGCTCTGAAGGGGTAAATAATGTTAGCAACGTGTTCAACACCATGGCTGACTGGATCCAGAAACGAAGATGAGGCCGAATTGGCTAAATTCAAGGTCACACTGGCCAGGCTGCTCAAGAAGCAGAAGCCAACGCCGATTGAATCTTACTTCAGTAAGCTCTCGGTACACGGCCATGGGAAGGGTGGTGCTAGAACACCAAAGCCGCCTTCTCCCAAGGTGTCTAGACCGAAGATACACCAACACCCCACGTATCCGGCAGCCCAGTACGGGTACCAGCCAGCCCCGCTACCGCTACCTCATCGATCTCATATTGCACCAACGTGGGGAGGCATAGGGGACATACCGTATATTCCTCCCCCAGTGCCAGAAATCCCTCAGTCGCCCACGTATTCGTCCGCATCATCACAGGCCTACTCGAACCAATCGACGGACTCAGAGCCAGTCGCTCATTGGGCAATGAAGATCTTCGATGGACGCCACGGCTCTACACCATCTCAAAGCCCCTCGGAGCCTACTGAGTGCTTCGGGAGGGATGAACCAAGAGTGATTGAGCTGTTAGACACCGATGGCTTTGAAAAGATCTTGGAACTACCATTCGAAGCAACTAATGTCTGGGTGAGAATATACTGGAGGGCCGACGACAACCGTGCACGGATACTCTTCCTTACTATAGATCACAATGGCAACCGTGTGAGGTACCAGGTCCCAATCACCGCATTAGCATTACGGCGCGCAGGATCGTGCTTGCAGCTCTGTCGCATCAATCGTCAAGATGGTCAACTTGACCTGTGGGCTAGACTACGCTTCCCTCTATACGAACGTAGGTACATTTGAGTCGCTCCTGCAAACACCTTCTAATGTTCCCTCAGGTATGGTACTTTTCTATTGTACCGCCATAGCTATGAAGCGCCAGGACCATACCCCCATTGCAGAGGGGCTCGAGGATGTTTTCCTGCCTGGAGAAAGGATTATGTTTGCAGGGTAAGTGATTGTTACTAGCCTCTTGTTCCATGCTGACGCTTCTCAGTGAGACTGTTGACGGCAAGTATCTCCACGTCTTCCGCGTCAAATACGATACGGACTCGGGCTGTGTACGGTTCGAAGCTACTGCTCGTCGCGGGCCTATGAAGGACATACCTATCTGGACGGCATTCGTCACGCCATATGTTGGACGCAGTGACTGGATGAAGCGCGTCGGTCCAGAAACAATCCAGTTCGAGAAGCTGCATCCGTATGTCTTCAGTGATAGCTACAGGCTACCCAAAGGCCCTACGGGCAAGTACCGGTTGAGCTTTACTTCACCAGAAGGTATTTGAATCCCCATAACCTATATGTGTCCGATGCTGATACATAAATTAGACGCGAAACAGTTCAAAGAAAACTTTTACCGCATGAGAGTCCGGTAGGCTTCCTGACGAGCTCAATAGAGCAATCCCGTTCGACCAAAATGCACGACACTCTCCTAATGTATAACGACATCACGATCAAAATCTATTAACGACTTTACGACATAACGCAAACAAAACTCTCACGACGTAACGACGAGGGCGGATTCTGCTTTTGGCACGATATACCCCTCTCACTACTTTCTCTGATTGGATGTTGCAAATTGACACTATGCTGTTCTTGATGCTGTATTTGTCTTGAAGACTTGGCCTTTGTTTATCGCACGTAGTGTAATGGTAAAGAAAATTGGTTGCATGAACCTTGGGATCGACAGCAAAAAAAGTTAACTTCTTCGTGTCACGCCTCTTTGGGCCTAGCGTCCAAAGTCTCAGATGCCCCGCTTCCCACCGAGATTGCCCTGGTGAGACCCTGGACCGAGCGAGTCTGTGCTTGGTACTACCAAAACCAAAATTTCCCTATCCTACTTGGACCGGAGCAACGCCAGTCTCTCCTCCTCTACTTTCAACCGCTCACACCTCCTCTTCTCCTCACACTCTACTCTCAATATGGCGAACCAGCAAGAAGCCGGAAAGAAGGACCCCCTCACAGGCATGGCGCACTCTGAGGCGCATTACTTCAACAGGTAGGCATCATCGAGGGTCCAGATATACGTAGAGTTTCGCTAACATTATTGTGTAGCTACAACCACCATGGTCCGTACAAACACACTCTGATGAGGTGAACGATACTAATGCGCGAATACAGGTATCCACGAGGAGATGCTGGTACAATTGCCCCTCCCTACCATTACCTTTACTACGACGACTAACAATGCGCTTTAGAAAGATGAAGTCCGAACCAAGAGCTACCGCGACGCTATCTACCAGAACCCTCACCTGTTCAAGGACAAGGTCGTCCTCGATGTCGGATGCGGCACATCCATCCTGAGCATGTATGCGC